TAAAATTAGCCTCTAGGATCTTCTTTGTGTCATGATGTGTTTTCCTTTCAATTACAAATGGTAATTGATCTACTGGCCTGAGCTGGGAACTCACCACTGGCTTCAGCAAGCTACAGTGGAAACTGGATGCACTTTCCTCAACAGGGAGGAAGTTTCAATTGAACCGTGATGGGGTTAATTACTTTCACTATGAGGAATGGATGGTCCTATGAACTTTAGACCCAATTTCCTAGAGGCTAATTTTAATCTCAGATATTCCGTGTTTAAGTAGACTCTGTCCCCCACCCAGAATTGCGGTTGGAGAGATCGGGGGTTTCTCACAATAAATGTACAAAAGGAATGGAGCTTGCTTTCATCATTTCCTCACTGCCCCCACCAACTTTCTGGGGACTTTGTCTTGGTGGAATTTGTCTTAGTTTCTTTGTAATGGGTTTCCTATGAACAGGCAAGGGGATTGGTCTTTGCATTGACAACTGTCGAGATTTCAGTTGACTGTTTACAAAACCATCTCCCAAAGACTTCTCAGTCCTAAATACTCCAAATACTGAAGCGGGGGAGGGGGGAATCAAAAAGGAGGTCCACGACAGGGACATGGAGCTGATCTTCCTGTGAGAGACTAATTCCTCTTCTCTGTGCCCGTTTTCTCTGCAGGGTTTCAGAGCTGGCAGAATGGCTGTGAGCTGAGTGAAGATGGTCACAAGCATGGGAGTTACCAGAATGCCTGTGATGGGGAAGACATCATTAGCTTGGATCAGAGGTCCTGCACTTGGACCAGAGATGAGATCCACCCTCTGGTGCCCAAGAGAAGGTGGGAAGTTGAGCCTTTCATCACCAAGAGCAGGAATAACATTTTGGAGAAGGAACGGATGAAGCCACCTCAGAAGTTCATGATGTATGGAAAGGATTGTTTGCTCAAGAAAGGTGAGGAAAGGAGGGAGGGAGCCAAGGGTTGCCGATGTCACAGGATAGGGCTGGACATGTGGTGCAATGTCCCCATGTTACACAAGTGCAGACTTGATATTTATTTATCAGTCTCAGTCATCCAGGCCATGTTTGTCCCAAAGCTGCATTTTCAGGAGTCAACTGAACTTTCTTGGCACTTTTTTTAGAATATTTAGAATAACAGTGTTGGAAGGGACCATGGAGGTTTGTTTAGGCAGGAAACCCTACACCACTTCAGACAAATGGTTATCCAACCTCTTCTTAAAGACTTCCAGTGTTGGGGCATTCACACCTTCCGGAGGCAACTTCTGTTCCACTGATTAATTGTTCTAACTGTCANCTGGGGACCCTCTGGTCAACTGCTCTGCAAGGAAGATCCAGCCCAGCTCAGTCCTGCTGGCCCACCAGCTCAGAGGGAGGAGTGGGAGACAGAGAAGGAACAGGAGTGGGGTGAGGAAAGGGTGAGCAGGGTTCTGTCCAGGAAGAATTGGACGGGGGGAGAAGGAAATGGGGCTTGGAAGAGCATTCGGGGGACTGTTAAGATTGTGCTGATAGGAGGAGGGAAAACACTCATCACTTATATGAACTGGGATGCTGACTTCCTTCATTTTCTCTCTTTGCAGCACGAAGCATCCTGTGGGTCATGGGGGCCTCAGAATGCCCTCAAAGACACTGTGTCAAATTTGTCCATGCAAAAACAGAAGCACCAGAGGGTCACAAGGTGGAAATCGTGGGCTGGAGAGTTGGGGATATCTTTACAGATGCTGGTTGAATCAGGAGCAACAGAGTCTGGAGTGAGAACGATCAGCCAGCCTACGGACAGCCCAAGATCCCTATCCCAGTGCTCGGAAATCTCAGGTGGTGAATTGTTTGTACCTTTAGTGTTTGAAAACCTGCTGCCCATCAATGTTTACATGGCCAGGTGTCAGGGCTACAAGTAATACAACCTGTTCAATAAGAATTCTGAGGCAGACAGGTTCCTCAAACAATATTTTTATTAGGACATATCAAATTGGCATATTCCTGGTGGAAAACTGGCTCTAAGTTGACACCGGTTCCCCCCTTCCCAATTAAAAGTAAAACTTCATGACTTCCCCCCAGTCTCAGTGTTAGATCGTGGGAACGGAGGAGGCAGACTCAGGCTTCAATAACAACAGCTCTTTATTAGTGATTCAGATAACTAGCAAAAACCCTGCCTGGCAGCAGCCCTTTTATAGGGCTCAGGCAGGGCCATCCACCAATCAGCTTTGAATGAGTTCCTGCAGGTAACAGAGGACCTGAGTGGAAACTACTTACAATGCTATTTACATAAGAATCACTCCAAGTACATAACACCCAGTCACATGGTCCATTCAACATACAGCCCAATGGCTCGATGACCTGAGTCTCCACCCTGCAAACACCTCCATGAAAGTCCTTGTTTCCCGAGGAAAGAATTTTATTTAGGTACAACACCCCAGCTAATTTCTACAATCCCCTTAGTCCCCCTGGTCCTTTCACTCCAGGCTGTGTCAGCCCTGAAGCAATGAAAAAATAAACCTCCTTAGAAACTACAAAACTACAAACTGCCAAAAAGAAAATGGCCACAGTTCAGCCAACTTTAGGGTTGACAGGCTTCCCCCCTTCAATGGAAGATAATTTCCTGTAAGACAAAGAGAGCAAGCATAGAGAAGTTAATGGGGAAGGTTCCTAACCCTCTCTCCCCCTCCCAGGAGGACCCTTGGGCTTATGAGGGTACCTCATGGAATTGCTGGAGCAATCTCTCTGCCTTTATTTTCCCTTCCAGTGGACTAAATACTGCAACTGTTCCCATTAACTTCTCTA